GTTTTTGTGAATTGTGACCCCAAAGAGTGAGCGTGCAGTATTTAATGGAGCCAGATCCTTCCACTGATGCTTTTTAGTGTCGTACGCACATACTTTGTTCAAACACTCTCTATAAAATAAGACAAATGTGTTTATAAATGTGAGATACAGGATCAGCCTTACTACTAGCTATAATATTGAATGCATATTCCAACACGAAGTGTAGAATTAGCTTAGAAACTTACTTGTTCTCTCCCTTTCCTCCAATTACATAGATCATTTCATTATGAGATACTACTCCATGGCCATATACTGGGTAGGGAAGAGGATCTGACTCTGCCCATTTAAGATACCTTAAAAAAAAACAGGATTATTTGAAGTACACTGAAAAAATTTTCAGCGGTCAACTGCTAGATTTCACAAATAATTACAGAAGAAATGGCAAGTAAAGCACTGAATTAAAAGTTTGAAGTAGAAAGACTGAAATAGTATTTTCTTGTCAAATATATTCCAATAATACTGGAATACTTCAAAAAATCTTTTTTTACAGTATATCTGTTGGGAAGATCCAATAAACATAAAAGACAAATGTACAGCTAATATTCAAATAATTCATGTGGCATCAGTAAACATACTTACTGTCTGTCGTAAACCATGACTGTGTCCAGAATGTGTTCTCCTTCCTTCATTTCTTTCCCTCCAATAACAAAGATGAAGTTTTCTGCCTCTCCCATGCTAAATAGGAAGCGGGGGGAGGGTATGGGAGGCATGCCCATCCAGTCTGATGTTGCAGGGTCAAACTGTCAGATGTAATGACAATATATCATCCACTTTGTTATACGGGACAGTCTACATGAGCATTTGCTGATAATTTAAAGACCCCATGAAATCAAAATGAGAGTTTTGTGCCTTTTAGTGCATGTCTGTTAAACACAAAACATTTCTGTAACGTTGGGTATGGTTCCTGTTTGAATATTTGAGAAACCAATTATTCTAGAAACATTGCAAGGAGGGTGGTTTTGTGTGATAACCTGCTAAGAACTTCTAGACAATGTTAATGGTTACTTTTAGGTTTTATTATTTTAGAACCATAAATTAACCTTTCCAAAATGTTCTGAGATGTTAGTGTCTATTGTATTATATGAAGTACCAAACAGGTTAGTGAGGAGCCTAATCATTCGGTTCTGTCAATCATCATTACGAGCCTAATAAGCAGCAGTCATTTCTTCAGCGACAATTCTTCCGACATCCTTCCACCTCCCCATCTCCTCCTCTATTTCTGTTATTCTCCCTCTATTCAGTACCACAATGGGGTGGTTGAACTCACAGCTCAAGCCGAGCCTCGTGTTCAAGACACTGTCGAGGACAGCAAGCCAGGTTCATTTGCCAATAACTATTAAGACTGGATGGGCAGGTGAACTTGTGAAATGGTTCTATATGTTATTGTATTCTAAACATTGACTACATACATTTTAGAATACTTAAAATGAAAAATAAAGCATTACATTTCAAATACTGTCTATAAAATAATGGGAAAACAAATTTAAAAAAATATTGATGACTCATTCTGAACTACACACATTTTTGCCCAATCAAAAAAGCTCTCTAGAATGAGAACATCCCTTCCCCTAATACCACTTATAACTGGCTAGCAACTAGCAAGTCTTGTGATGCATGCTACAAATCACAAGACTCATACAAGTCATCCCCAACAAATGCAAAACGTTCCCTTAACGTTACGGTATAGTTCCAGTTTGGTTATTTCTTTGGGCACCAATTACGTACATTCTAGAAACACTGTTAAAACCTAGCTAAACATCTTGTGTTTTCAACAAGAGACAATCCCACCTAGTTTCATAGAATACCAATGATTCCATGGGGTCTTTACTTTCACTGATATCTAAATATATAGGTAAATATAGCTGGGTAGAGACAAAAAAAAAAAGGATATCTTTACTAATGTTGTCTATGATTTATGTACACTACATAAACTTCACAATGTGTAGAATTCATGACTCTGAGAAAAGAATGAATGAAAGAAGTAAATGAAGGAAGTCCTTTACCTGCAAAAAGTATGAATAGATCTGTTCGTCTTTGCTCTGCTCATCAAAAAAGAGTCCACCTGCCACAAATATCTGATTTTCTTTTGTTACCAGACTGCAGTGGTTTTTAGGAATTTGGTTGGAGAGTGACGCCACATAACAATCATTTCCCGTTGGGTCATAAGCCACTGATGCAGTGCCATTGATCAAGAAGATCAAGTCTCTCAGGAACATCCCGAACCGCAGATTGTCATTCAAGATTCCTGGAAATAGCTCCCCCTGCTCTTCTTCCTCCTCTTCGTCTCCCTTCTTCTCTCCTTCCTCACCAGCACTCTTTTTGCTTTTGGTCTTCTTGACTTCAGGAAGCTTCCCAGCATGGGCGTCTTTGACCAGTTGCAGTTTCTTGGTGATCTCTGGGTTTGAGCTCAACCATTCATGTTTCTCCACGTTTTTGGTGAAGTAGTCCTCGGGAACCAGACGTAATCTGACGCAATCCAGCAGTCCCGTTAGGTCTTCCAGTCTCTTCTCTTGGTCATGTCCAACCCACTTGATCAAAGCCTCAAAAACGTCTTGCTCCGTTTCTACATTCAAAGAGTCCGAAGCGATAATGGCTGCCAATTCACTTGGAGTCAGTTGCAGGAATTCTTCATCACGAGCAATTAACTGGAAGCGTTCACAAGCGAAGTTCCTCGCCGATATGGCCAGACGAGGACAATCCAGCATCAGGCCTAGTCGAAAAATTGCCAAACAGTTGCTCAAACTCAGTCTCTTTTGCAGAAATGAGACACATACAGTGAAAATCGAGGGGATCTGAAGCATGTTGGCCAGAGCGAAGATGTCTTGTACGTTTTGTTCCGTCACATTGATGTTCGAGGTGTAGAGGTACTTCAAGATTATACCCATGACTCCAGGCTCCACATCCTCCAATGCAATCTCCTTCTGTTTACTCTCCTCCACACCTGACTTAAAGAAAGCTCTGAAGTACGAGCTGCAAGCAGCCAGGACCAACCGGTGACAGGGAAACTCCTTGTCTTTGATCTTCAACACACAGTCAACCATCATATCGCTCTCCAGAAGATCGTATAGACCATCCTGCAGCAGGGTTTGCTGGTACATGCGCGGCTCCTCCATGGGATCTATGGGTAGAGCCATATTGATCGTGTAGTATCCCTGTCGGTCACAGTGAAGTCAATGGCTAGTCCAGCGGTCTCTGTACCACACTTCTGTTACTGGCTGAAAAGAAGAGGAAGGGGCCGAATCAGTTCCGCGTTGCTGTCGGGACTTCAGGCTTCATCAGCTGTCCCAATACTTCAACCAAACTCCAACTGGGGGCTATTTATAGATCCTTCACAAAGATGTGGAATCCATACTTGTACATGTGAAACACAACCCCCTGCCCTGTGCAACAGCTGACACACTTCCCCATGCAAGACAGCAGTCAGAAGAAACGCTGGCCTTCTGGGTGAGATCACAGACCACTACATGGTACCTTTATGGGACTATGAATCACCCTCTTGACTTATTATTTTATAGACTATATTATTGATAAAGAGGCATTTCATTACAGAGATTCTCATCTAGTAATACTGCTTAAAGTTATACAAAACTATGCTTTTTTTTAATAATAGGTAACACTTTATTTTAAGGTGACGTAGTTAAATGTACTTACTACAGTAACAGCAGTAAATTATGCATACTTACAAGCAACTAACCCTAAACCTAACCCTAACCTTAACCCTATAGTAAGTACATGAAGATAATAGATATTACTCAGTGCTTCATGTAATTACACTACAACAATGTCACCTTTAAATAAAGTGTAACCAAATAATCTTATATATTCCAAAGCCTTGTGTGCTAGTTCTTGTACAAGTTAACCTAATATTTTAACATATTGGCTGAACTGCATTTTCTAGCATAGCAAATTATATATTATATATATTTAAATAGTATATATATAAAGTAACATAAAAATATAGGGCCAACTTCTGTTTTTCTGTTTTATTTTCTACGAAAAACTGATAATATCAATAGTTCATTCACGGTCACGGGTTACCTTAATGGTTGAACAAACAGAAGAAAGCTTATGCCAGTTCATATAAATATCCTAGAGTGAAAAGGTTTAATGACATCAAAGATCTTGAATGTTCTCAGTGACATTTATGCTTTTGTTAAGAGTCACAGTTTAATTTAAGCGACCACGTTGTCATGCAGGATGAGTGTCCCAGATGATCGATCTCTGTCAATTACAACTTGGCCATTTCCTTATTTGCAGAAATTTGAAACACGAGGTTCCCAAAAAAACATTAAAAAAAAAAACTAGGTGATAAAAAGACACACATAATCATTAATGAAGATGACTTTAATGCATATCACAAATTCGTAAAACAGTTTTTGTGATTGTTAGTCCATTGTTTTTAAATACATATTAGTAATATATATTATGTATTATATTATAGTAATCACTTGTGATACGAACACTGAATATTTGTATTTCATTTTAATTAAAACTATGCTATAAAATTTGTAGTAATAAAATCCATCCTACAAATCACATAATGAAACTCTATTACACATGTAAAACTGTCACTAATTTAAAAAGCAGCCAGGGAGAGTAAAGTCTGTAATGTTGAAAATAATCTGTAAAAACTTAAATAGCTGTTTCGCATGCATACTCTTTTCTTACAGTACTGTCATTAAAACAATTTTCTCCATATTTCTAGATTATCATTGTCTGCCGAATTCACAAGAAGACACAAAATGTGTAAGTAAACCATTGAGGTTTCATCAAAATGTAACCATCATGTGTTATCTCTACTCTGCCTTTTGCTTGTTTGGGTCCACAGGCTGGGTGGCAGCAGCAGCAGCGTCTGTCTGGGTGGTGCTAGGATCTGTGGGAGTGGGTGCAGGAGTGGGGGCTGGAGGGGGGATTGGGTCTGGATCATCAATCAAAGCCTGTCTTCTTTCCCTTTACTGGAGCATACATGTTACAGTACATGACTAGAAAATCAAGCAAATTATTATTGGTCATCTTTCAGCTTACCTCAATAGAAATAAAAGGTTCCATGGTAAAGAACTTGGCGATCCACAATTCAAAATTAAGGCCAAAGCAGTTTAAGAAAGCCCAGATGAAAACCACCCAGCTCGGTCCCAGCCAGAGGGCTGTGATGCCAAACGTGCACAGAGAGCCTATCAGCTCATCCAAAACGTTGTCATGCTTCCCACCGAGATAGTTATAAACATAACTGTAAAGATGACAGCATCCTTTATTAAAATACTGGTGCTTGAAACAGCATTGTGTTGGTTAAAAGTCTAATAAAAGTAAGAATGTCAGTCATACTTGCAGAGAAAGTCATTTATTCCTCGATCAAAGTGTCTGTAAAAAAAAAAATAATAAAAATGTTTTTTATTTTCAGAATTATCAATACTATTTAATTTTACTGATTACATTAAAATTTTAATATAACTTTTAGAATAAAGAAAAAAGAAAACAAATAATGACAAATTAGCTCACTCACGTCTCAGAGAACACATAAAGCATTGTAATGCATTTCGGTGGTTTGGGAGGGTCCAGATGATCCAGTCTTGATACTGTGTTTATCACTCCAAACATCACCGCGGCTTTCACCCAATCATACACCAGATTTAAATAAGCCAATCCAGCTGCGTAGTGAAAGAAGAGAAAGACTATTGTGGTCTTTTGGACACTGATGAACTGCAAAGCATGTGAATACAAGCACACACATACTTACCAAGGGCCCAGTCAGAGATGTGTTTAAGGAGCTTCATGTCACTAGGTATGGTCAGAATGTACATGAAGTGTAGGATGACCGCCACTATCATAATAACCCCCAGGTTTAGCAGGGCCTGAATGGAAATGTTCCACATCTCTCCATTCTTCCTTGTCAGGTTTGGGTTATTGGCCTGCTGGGGTCAAAGGGCAATGCTATAAAATCACAGTCGAATTATTTGGAAAATAATCAAACCAGTTGATTTAGTTACAGACCTGAATGTAAAACTTGTCGAAGGTCATGATGGGTCCAAAGTAAAAGAAGGGAAGGTAGAAGTTGTACTTGAGAAGCTCCAGGATGCTGTAGTTTCCATCTTTCCTCTCACAGTTCTCTAGAGCAAAACTCAAACACCGCATGATAGTGAACCCACAGCCGCCGTAGAACAGAAGAGGACGGAGCTCAAAACTGCCAGACACAAACCCTGCCTGAAAAACAAGCCATCTCGAATGAACATAATCATAGATGTATAAGTAAAAAAAATAAAATAAATAATGATCACTAATAACGATTAATTATGATAATAATATTCTATTTTATTTGAACAATTATTATTATTATGATCATCATTTAATTTCTAATAATCATCATCATAATTTATTAATTACTTTATTTATTAATACTTATTAATACTACGTCATTTCTTTTCATTTTAATAATAATAATAATTTTATTTTATTGTTTTATTTCACTTTTATTAATAATAATAATTATTATATTATTGTCAGAATTTCATTTCTTGTCATTTTAATAATAATTATTATTATTACTATTATTATCTATACATTATTGTGACTATTTTAGGTTCAAGTGATGATATGATGGATGAGCCATCTTATTAACATAATTATTGATATAGAATGAATAAATAAAATAAAATACATTATTATTATTATCGTTAATAAAAAAATAATGCTTGTTTTCATTTTATTTTAGTTTTATTTTAACAGTGTTTTTATTTTAACAATTATCATGATCATCTTCATCATTTATTTTATTTTAATAATAATACTAATTAAAAGTATATGATTCATGTATATATATATATATATACATATATTTATTTATTTTTTTTTTTTTTTTCTGTAGCATTTTTATATTTCCAGAATGTCAGTGACATACCTGCCAGGAAATGAAGGGCTCCATTTTGAAAGTAGCCAGTGTAGTGAGTCCAGCGACAAAGCAGAGCCACCTGAGCTTGACCAGAGAGATGCTGTAGAGCAGCACACAGTGAGACAGGATGAGCGTGACGTAGGCCCAGCCCATACTGGTGAAAACCGCCAGCATACCATACACCATGAACACCAGAGATCTGTACTGTGGGATGAGAGAAGAAGAGAGAATGAGCATCTCAGGTAGATTGTATGGAGTCACCTTTATTCATATAACATAGATTTATTTGGACTTTCAAGAGGCACCTGAGGAGCCAGCAAGGTGCAGATCTTGGCAAAGATCACATGACCTGAGAGTGCAAAGATGATATGTTCTCGAAACATAGAGAACCACATCATCCACTCAACATCAGCTGTATCCTACAGTGTGACATGGATCAATCAGAGTCAATTACCACAATTTTATACATACCCATAATGTGAGATAATGCAGACAAAATCTCACCATTTTTCTACCAGAGTAATACCATCCTGACTGAACACTGGTCTTGAAGGTTTTTCTGTTGGAATTTGCTGGATATAGATAATCATGAGACAATGAATGCTCTATTCATTACTAAATATGATCAAATATTAATTTAAAACAGGGTTTCCCAAACTGGTGTTCATGAGGAAATTAGTTAATGAAAACTAACAATTAAATCATAAAAATGTAAAATAAATGAATAATTGTAAAATAAACCAAACCAAAATAAAGCATTTACTAAAAATACATTAAAAAAGATTAAATATTTTATTTGTTTACCTGCATGTCATGTAACTAATAATCGACAACAGAGACCTGTGAACATTCCAATGTGTTGTTAAATTATTTAAATATTATCTTAAACTCTCAGAGGATCCTTCAAGTAAATATTTTAGTTAATTAATAGATGTGTATATTATATGGGAAAAAATATACAAAAAACTGTATATTTAATGCAAATTTGGTAGATTTTGTCACAAACCCATAATAATACCTCTTTCTCTTCTCTGCCACTCTGTTTTAGTCTCTCATTCTTTGGTATATTAATACTGACATATGATCCCTGCTGCGTAATTTGCATAGCTTTCTGAGGTTAGCGGATCGCTTCGCTGTCTTTTTCCTCATACAATATACAGTAGTACTATTTTTGTGCTCTAATGGCTATTTCTGTGTTTATGAGTGAGAAAAAGATCTCAAGTGCATGTTACAGTAAAATGGCAAAAGCCACACAGAAACCACTCCAGAAACTTTATTTGTAGAGTGGCATCATTTTGGGGTCACATCAGAACAGCGTGCATGTGTTCATTTATACTTACAGCTAGATACATCAAATATCCATCTGGCAGCCCACAGCATTGCCATACACAGCACTACATTATAAAAGTAGAACTCGTACCTCGGAAGAGCTGCTTTGACCCCCATTGTGTGCAGGACAACCTAAGAGAGTTTGGAAATGTGCAGTTAGAATGAATGCACATGTGAAAAAAAATCTGGTGTCAAATTCGGTCATTAAAATATTTCCCAATCAAGACAGCCAATGAGTGATTAGGATCCTGCTAAAAATACAACTTGGTAATTGGTAAACTACTATGGGATGAAAGCAGTATTGTAGTGTTACTGTAGCTCAACTTGTAGAACATGACGCTAGCAACACCAAAGTCATAGGTTCACTTCCCGGGAACCAAATGAACTGAGAAGATGTATGCTGTGAACATACTGTCTCTTTGGATAAAGAGTTAAATTGCATACATATAAATGGCATCAGTCATTACAATAGGAATTATATATTCAACACTTTCTTACAAAAAATTAATAGATATAAAAAAATAATTTGATCTTTGTGGGCAGGGCAGAAGTTTCCAATGATTTGAATTGTGTGAGCAGGAAGCATCTACACTATGTGAGCTCTTGCTATTTTTAGCTGGGCTATTTTCTGCTCTCATTGTATTGACTGAAGCATCACACTAAACTATCGTTTTTACATTACAACCAAATCTTTTTATCTTTTTTAACCAGCAAATGATTCTTTGGTCTTTTTCTCTTCTCAGCTAATTTGAAGGTATGAAGTCAAATACCATCCTGGTCTGCTTTATTGTGACGTTTGTTATTGTGAGAGGAACCATGCAGGTAAGTTAGAAGCTTATTAGTTCAACTCTTTTCTCTGATATTTGACATAAATGTTAGCAGGTCATGCGCTGCACCGAGGTGCCGAGCAGATTTTAGAAGCACCTGTTGTACTAACCTTGAGCACAGCAATGCCACCGTAACCCAAATACTGAAAAATCCACTTGAACTTAAAATAAATGCAATAATGCTAAATAATAGTCTAATGCATCCCCTGTTTCTACAAAGTGTCAGTTGGGTGCACAAACTGCCTGTTGGGCAGTTGCGGACAGTTAAAGGTGAATGGGAGATGTATTTATATTCATGTATTTATATTCATCTGAAGCAGCCCATAGGGGGCGGATCCATTGTGCCATGTTGTATCAATAGAAATAGGCTTGGACCTCCATTGCTTGCATACTGAATGTCCTACATAAGAAACAGAAGATGGGTTAGAACAAAAAGTGTAAATGTGCAAATATGTATCAATTAAAAATAAAAAAAGCACTGGTGTACTAAGTATAATGTGCTTACTTTATAATTATAAGTAAAAAAAAAAAAATCTATTATCCACACATAAAAAAAATCTTATCTCTTTGTTCAAACCCTTAGAGAGGTCATGGGTCATCGAGAAACCACTTATAAGTGCTTTTACTGTATAAATATGCAATTATGTTGCTATTACTCAGATACCAAGCAGAATCCAATTAACAGTACATTATTTGTACTTATTTATTACTTATTTTTATTATGGTTAAATGAAGACTCATAATAGATTGGACTATTGCAGTCAGTCCCCTAATATAACTTACATGTATTTTAGGCCATTAGCTCTTTAGCAGCCTTTAAGAAAAGCCAGGAGCCCTGCACACATTCACACTCTTCCACACCTGTTTCTGTCAGGGTCAAGGCTGTTTTTGGATGATCATAGCCTGTTGACGATTTAGACCGGGGCACCATCTTCTAACCGCAATAAACACCCTTCAAAAATAAAAGAAAACTATTCATATTAGCAAGATTTTCAGTTCTAAAACTGTTATTAAAAAATACCTGAAATACTGGATACAAGTCCTGACGTATCAGCAGTTTAAGTTGTAAGCAGAACAATGTAACATGTTAACATAGTCCTGATTAAATATTAATAGCAGGTCTGAATATGGATCACTGAGCCCCTCTAGGTCAATATTACCAAGCTTTGACCTGAGAACCATTAAACTACTAGTTTTCAAACAGAGGGCCAGGGCCCACTTTGGGGCGTCATGACAAAAATTACACCGTAAAAAATGATTTGTTGTAAATAAAACAAAGATTATTGGAGTGCATTTAACAAGAAAATACTATTTAAGCCTTTCTACTTCAAAATTTCAAGTGTAATCAATTGTGCTACTTGCCAATTTGTAATAAATTGTGAATTTACTAGCAATATCTGATTGAAAATTGTTTCCACGCCAAATTATTTTTCAAAGGAACTTTTAAAAAGTCACTTTAACATAAAATCCTAAAAAAAAAAAAAACACATAAAATCAAGATGGAAATCAAAATGTATTTATATTAAAATAATAATAATAAATTAAATACCACCTTCATTCATTAATTCATTCACCTATTTACTTTTTATCTTTAGTTGGCTTAGACCAACAAGAAAATATTTAGTTTTTAAACGAACATACAGTTCTTGAAACTTAATTCACAAAAATAATTAGTTAATTAATATACCAATACTCAGAATTCTGCTCATAAAAACGTTTAAAAACAAGCCTATAATAACCTGTATTGGGGAGGCTTTGAATAATGTGTTGGACAATGAGGGTCATTTGAGTCAAAAAGGCTGAAGTTATGGAAAATCAACTAGCAGATGTTACGTCCCCCTGGTGGCCAACATACTCAGTGCATCTTTCACTGAACACATACTTGATCAAAAAATTGACTGAACACATTGTTATAGGTCCAGAAAGTGCTGGTTTGATTTATTTGACCATACATGTGATTCATGCCTTCATTTATCAACCCATGGACAGGAATGGTGGAATCCTTTTACTAGCACAGTAACCTAATCACAGTCATCCTTAGGTCCTTACAGAGCTTTCTTGAGTTTTAAAGGAGTACTTGATTACAGTGGTTCCAGTTGTGTGAACATCTGGTGCACATTGATCGGTTGTATATTATAATTGCCATAAATGTGATCCTATGTATGCAAATGTAAAAATATCCGTGACTGCCTCGAGTGAAAAAGCAGATGAGATAGATGAATAGACAGTCTACTCCTCCACAGTTTCCTTTTTGCTGGTCTCCTGGCCTTCAAAGATCGGGTACTTGCTTTCCACCTCTGTCCATGTGATGGCACCATTGGCCAGGTCACGAACGATTTCGGGCAATTCACTAACCTGTAAATAAACATATGTATCTCAGCAAAATAGTCAACACGCGCTGCCTCAGTGAATGAAATGAAGACACATAAACATGACCAACTACTTTACCTCAGCCCTGATCTGCCTCATGGAGTCACGGTCTCTCAGAGTGGCCGTGTGGGGCGTCTTATTAACCGTGTCAAAATCGATGGTGATACCGAATGCCACACCAATCTCATCCGTTCTGGCATAGCGTCTGCCAATAGATCCTGAGGAATCATCCACCTTGTGGGAGACACCATTCCTGGTCAAGGCTTCAGCTGTAGAGTGAAGCAAATCATGAATCATTACAGAATTATCATTCAGATATTATTGATACAATTTTATAAAATGGGAGTAGAGATGTTATTACTCACATAATTCTCGAACAAATGGCATAAATTCCTGATTTTGGCTCAATGGAAGGACGGAGCATTTGTATGGTGCAACAGTGGCAGGGAAGCTGAAATACTGAAGAGAAAGAATCAAACTTCATAAATAAAGCAAGACAAACATATGAAATGATTAATTATAGAATATTACAGCTACTGCATTTACCGTTCTTTGCTCATCACCCTCCCTGATACGGAATGTGTGCTCAAAGATGGAGTACATGATTCTCCCGATGCCGAAGGAGGGTTCGATCACATTAGGAACAACCTCCTCAACTGTGGAGCAAGAGAAGTCAATTAAAACCTCTGACATATTCTTGTTATGTTGACATTAAAATCGTAGCTTCTGCCTCTTACCGTGCAGGGTCTTCTGGAACCTCTTGACGTTAACCATGTCCTTGGTGAGTTTGAAAGTCTTGCCCTCTGTCTCAATGGTGAACTCACTGCAATGACAGAGGAAACCACTGAATGAACAGAATAACATTGGGGAGCACTACGAACTGAGAAAAATACCTATTTTAGCTCTGACTATTGGTTAAAAACCCTATGATATTGCTACTTCAAATAAATTCCTCAACAAAATATTAAGCAGCACAACTGTTTTTAACATTGATAATAAGACATCAACATATTAGAATGATTTCTTAAGAATCATGTAACACTGAAGACTGGAGCAATGATGATGAAAATTCTGAATCCTGAATGCTGGAAAAAAAAAAATGCTGTTTTCACTAATCTGACACCAAACCTCAAACTTTTAAACGATAGTGTATCTGCCTTTATATTGTGAATCTTCATATTTGGGGGTCATTGGAATTAAAAATTTCAAATGCTCTCATCAGTGATGATACTCACCCACTCTCGTTAAGGAGTTTCTCTTGATCTGTGATGTAGCATTCATCACAGATGGCCAGGTATTCCATGGCGAACTTGGCATCCTTCTTGTACGCTTTGCCAATGGCTCCTTTGTTTGGCTCGAACTGGACAACATTTACAACTTTGTGTGAAGCAGTTAAGGAAGGTAACTGAGGACAAACAGAACTAACACTCTACTGAGAGAGTTCAGATCCAACTCAAATGCTTTGATTATTGTAGTTATTAAGATATGCAGGAAGTTGAAGGATATGGGTTCCTTTAAGGGTTTCTCAGCAACCAGAGGGACTTTGGTGGCCCGTGCATGGCACAAAAGATCATAACATGAGCGATCAGCACACCCCACGATCTCAATCCACCCCTAAAAAAAAGCATGTACCAAACACACAAATAAATTCCCATTTTATTGAGCAGGTAAAGTCAGAAAGTCCTCAAGCGAAAACTGAACGTACATAAGAGGTTTTGGTCTCAGCATCCCAGCAGTCACAGGCATAGTGGGCCATCTCATTGTCCATGTGCTGACGGAAACGAAGCTTGTCTTTCGCCACGCCCACTTTGATCAGATAAAGGTAGATCCTTCCAATGAAGTAGCCCAAGACGGAGTTGTTGATGATGCCCTACAAAAAACACGTTTGTTACTACAACCAAAGTGTTAATTATAATCAATACACCATAAATGAGATCTTCACTGACCTGCTCTACTGCATCACCCAGCTTCATTATCTGGGCAGATTGCCCACTAGTCTGTGCTTTGGACGAGTAAAGCATGATCTCCAGATCAGCAACACTGGAGAACTTGGAATGAACCTTCTCATTCGGATCTACAAAGTGCTCGATCTCAGCCATTGTAAACTCTCTATGGAGAGAAATGTTCACTTCAGTACTGTGGAAACACTTGTATGTGACACCCAAATAACCAAATCATAATCCGCACCTGACACGAATCAAGCCAGAGCGAGGAGAGATTTCATTCCTGAAGGAGTTTCCGATCTGGGCAGCAGCAAATGGCAGCTTTCCCTGGTTGAACTCCAAAAGACGTTTGAAGTTGAGAAAGATTCCCTGAGCAGTTTCTGGCCTCAAATAGCTATGGAAATAATGTAGCCCCAAGTGTAACACATCCGTATTCTTACTTTGGATATTTTAAAATGATAGCATGTAGTCTGGTGGTATCCAACTTACATTTACGTTACAATTACATTTAGTCATTTAGCAGACGCTTTACTTACCCTTGCATGTTGCCCCCAGGCCCAATGGAGGTCTGGAACATAAGGTTGAATGAGATGGGAGGTGTGAGATCATTTCCTGTACTGGGAGACTTGACATTGTATTGCACAAACAAATCTGCCAACTCCTGCTGAGTGTAGTTATCCATCTGAAAAAAGTAGAGTAAACCCATTACTACTCAGTAATTTTACTAAACAGTAAAGGCCCGCTCACACCAAAAACGACAACTATAACTATTTTAGTGTCCACATCAATGGATGATAATGCTGCAGTTATGTCTTCTGCTGCTTTAAATGATCAAGCTTATTATAATAGCGTGAATTCTTTTTGGCTGTCAATGTTTTTATCGTTCATCAGCTAGAAAAAAACGTTTCTGTGTTATTATCATTGTGGGTGTGAGATCATTTCC